GAGTGTCACCCAGTTATGGTACTGAAGATATGATCTTAATATATGCTCAGTTGCAGAGGATGTAGACGGTGGTAGCCTTGATGGGTTGAGTCTTTTCTTTGCTATCATTCTACTGTAGCTGAGAAATCTGAGAGTTTCAAGTGCCTTGGTTTTATCTCCATAGATATGTTGAAACAAGGAGAGGCCAGCTTTAATTACTTCATTTGTTGAAACTCTCACAGAGAGTAATGATGCTAAATGACCCTCCTCATGAAAAGAAACTGCCTTTTTCAATATCTTCACCTTACCAAAGCCATGTATACTGCTGACCGTGTCACATCCTGAGAAACTGTGAACAAACAGTAATATGCGTTTTATGTTGGCATCAAGAGCATTTACTATTTTACTGATCGAGTGTGAACCGTTTTTGGTCGTCATCACAATTTCATTGTGATTCTCAGTAAAATGATGAATAAGGAGGCAAAGTATATCAGTATCCTCTGCTTTTACCTCAACATCTTCGTAGAAGAACAAGTTTAAAGCTTTACTAGCTACCATGGTATCAGCATCATCAGTAGCTACATGTACTTCAATTACATGTACTGTAAAAACGTTCGACAGAAGCTTTATAACTTTATAAGCTCATGCTTGTTCTTTGAGTTGCTGAACAGTTTTTTTCATTGGAACTGTGCACACAGTAGTACTTTTAATAGCTATATCAGAGCAGTATGCCTTGATTCTTCGCTGATGCTCATGATCTTTTGTCGATCGGGCATAGCCATCAAACACAACAATCACTTTCCGCTGTTCGGATTTCGGAACTAGCTTAAGGTATTCATTAGCTATGTCGCCGTATGTTTCAAAGCCTGTGAACGAGGTAACTTGATAGAGTATCCATCCACCATCAATTATTAATGGGGAGGATGGGTTGCTAAATGTCACAGTACAATCAACATAATTCTTGAGGTATTGCCCAAGGGCTGCCTTGTTTGCCTTTCTCATCATCTGCTCATTGTTAAAAAGACTCATCGGCATTGCTGTGAGCTCATATTGCAAGCTTTCCTCCAGTGTAGACTCTCGTTCAGATGCGAAGACAAGCCGATTAAAAATTGTCAATGAGTCTATAACAATGTCTTTTTCGTTCACCCTCACTGTCCTCTTTAGAAGGGTCAAGTTTCCGACTTTGCCTTTAACTCGAAACTTATCGATAAAGCTTTTTCCATCCAGCTCTTTCTGGAGGGCAGTACCAACTAAAATACAATCTTCTGGGTTGACATTATCCTTCTCTTTCTGTGATATGAGACCCGTTGAGTACGATAGCATTTTAGTCTTGTCTTCAGATTCGTCGAAATCAGCTGTATCTTTAAACCAACACAACAGCTTGGTAAACACTGCAATATTTTTCTGTACAGAAGATTTGCTAAGATCTAAGTGATTAGCACTAGAGGCTTTTGTTGTTGTTCTTTTATTCGATAAGTCTGCAATAGCTTCATCGACACTCTCGTTTATCAACGCCATTTGATTGAGGGTTGCAGTCCATAACTTATGGGCAGATTCATGAGTTCGCATTCTCCCTCCAGACAAACCCCCTGATGACTTTACAGCCTTCATTAGTCGCTGTTCGATCGACAGGTCTGTCCACACACCAGACCACTCGTGTTCATTATATCGAACTGTGTGCAGACCTACGACCTTGAACGTTTTGACTAGTGCCCCATACTGAATCTCAAGTACGGTAATCTGCTCAAGATACAGCCGTAGAGCTTTGGAGTACTGACCTCGACCTGCTGCTGCAAAGATAGGCAACATCTTAGCCACAATTGCAAGATGTAGATCGAAGTCATGTAACCGTTCTGCTCTTATAAAATCTTTTATTAAGCAAATGAAACCATGATAAGTTGTCCAAAGAGCAGCTGTGCGGCTGTTCGACGATAAAATATCGAACTTCTTTTTTATACGCTCTGATAACTCTTGTACGACTCTGGTCTTGTGGTTTACACCGAGTTTTTCATTGCTACACTTGGCAGCTATGTATGTGTAGCTAGCCATATCTTCAAGATCCTCCTCTGCTATTTTGTCCTCAAATAAATAGCAGCAGAGCACAATCTATTAAAAAGTGGGCCCTCAGTGCTTTGTAATAGGATCCACCGTCCATTATGTGAGTTACATTCCCAGGGTAGACTAATCTCATAAGGTCTTCCAGTCCGATGTCTGCCATGATATAACCCACACACCCCAAAAAGCTTTTCAGGGTGTGGAAGCCTCCCAGCCTAACAATAACTGGCATTCCTGTCTCGAGAACTATCCGACTAGCCTTCAACCAAAGTGGTAAATCGAAAGTGATTACCATCGGTTTGGTTGAGGCTGTCTTCAAGCACTCAATAAGTGTTGTATAGACTGTTGAGTAGCTGTCTGGGGGTTGATCGATTATCTGCAGGAACTCAATTTGTGATCTTGCCTTCACATTGGGCTTATGCAGTGATTTCATGAAACCTTTCCAATTGACGGGAGGATTGGCAGGGGTAAGTTCATCTCAAAAATACGGCTTTTAAGCTTTACAAAGAGTTTTATCAGAATTTGAAACGTGATAATTGTTGACAAATCAACAACCTTATTTACAACTACAAAATAAGGAAGCCATATCCGTACTCGGCTTCCATAACATCCCCACTACAACAATTTTCGCAAAATTTCCAAATTTAAGTAAAATTTCCAAATTTAAGTAAAATTTCAAAATTTTAGTAAATTGTTGAGAGGTCAGCCTATAAAAATGAAATTATCTCAATAAGTAAAGATCTGACGACCCTGAAACACTGATTCGCCCCACATAATGTCACTATTGCGGTCACTATTGCGGTAATTTTACACCCCCTATGGTACTCCTGGGGGTCTTTATTACGATAGTTACGAGTTTTTCAAGTGCGGTCCTCAGGCTAATATACGCGCTTGGAGAAAATTAGCTGTAACTTTTTTTGCTCAACAGATCCAGATTCAAAACTCTTTGGGGTGGTTCCTGACACTATGGACAACACATTCCTGTAAAAATCAGCTTGTCGCAAATTTTTTCCCAGATGGTCCTATATTAATGTTAATTGTCCCTAACTATGTGTACTTATTTTACACTAACTAACGAATTTCACATAGGTTTTATTAAGATTCTTTTTGTGAATTATACTGAAATTAATTTTAATGATCGTTATCCGCATTGAATAGTTTTATTTACATCTTATTATTATATATGTATAAATAAAATTCCTAATTCTCGAAAATAATAGATTCTAATTCCTAAATTGATTGCCGAATTACTGCGAAAATTGACTAACAAAACTGTCAACCACAGCTAGTTTAAACAAAGCCTTCACCCCATACAACCAACCAAGAGAGTTTGGCAGAACGCCAGGGGATGAGATACAGTTTTGCTCAACATCGAAAGTTAGGCGAGGACATTTGGTAAGATGCCAATAGAAAGTTAGGCGAGGACATTTGGTAAGATGCCAATAGAAAGTTAGGCGGTGACATTTGGTAAGATGCCAATAGTGGGTATTGTGTCTTCCGGGAAATACGAAATTATTCAGGAAAAGAGGAAGAGTCTGGTGATCACAACTGACTAAACTAATTTATTGCAGAATTCTTCCAGAAAGATCAAATCAGGCCCCAATGGAATGTACCCGTAAGGTGTCTTACATCGAACAGGCCGAATATTAATAATTTATATATATATATTAATTTATTACCGGTAAATTTATAACCTTTTGATAGACTGATTGAATCACGAAAAGAATTTTTCAACCTTATCCTTCATAATTAGTTGAGCAGAAAACTAAATCATGTAGTTATCGTATCCTGCTTTAGCATCCCCATTGTCTGGCGATTTGCAGAGAGACTTGGAAATTTAATTTACAAGATAAGCATAACCGATAACGGCAAACATAATTTTTTTAAATCGGAAAATTGAATTGTAAATATGCAATTTGTGTGTGAAAGTTTCAGAAACATCACAAATGTTTTTATAACGTAGAAATAATCTTTAGTTTATGTTAGCCTCTACTACACAAGGTAGGTTCTCAAGTCTAGCACTACTAGAAACGTGACCAGTGACACAACTCTCATTAACCTGTGATAAACGAAGAGATTGTATGGATCACTGCTCGCTTAGGACTGTAACGAAAAGGCGGACGGGCCTGAAAAACGAGACACATCTTACGAAGAAACTCCAACTCGTATCTAAATTAGGTTTTATCAATGCGAACCATGATTCATGATAGCAATTACCGCTCAGCTTCACTTTCGATAGGATTAGCGCTCGTGTTCATCACAACTGTATCGGAATATCCCTCAATGGACTAATTACACGCTGCATATTTGCAACATTCATTACTTTACTTTTTTATTACTTTAATGTAATACCTCAATATTATAATAAACATTAACCAGTCTACCAAAAGCTGGTCCCCAAATAAACAGATTACATTTCGGGGTTACAACTTCAAACTCTCTGAAGCTCTGACCCCACCCGCATTAGGTATGTTCACGAAACCACTGACTTGGCACACGCCCATATTTAGTCATGAAGGAGTATGGAAGGAGTTCTAAATGTGTGCTCCTATAATCTAATCTCTAATCTCTGGGCCCACCCGCATGGCCCACCTAAGTGATGTGAATATGCCCAGCATTCAGAAACGATTGATCTTCCTTTTTCACAACAGCCCCGAGCCACGGCACATCTTGTCGGGCCCTATCGTGTGGCGAGTAAAATAACAGAAGGGAAAGGGAAGCGATTTTATCATGATAATAGTCGTTACAGATACACATGCGCGCGGCGCAAAAATTCGTTTGAAATCGATGAAATTGTGTGTTAACAAGAAAGAACTCGCCGCGCCTGACGCGAAGCATTGTATTGACCAGTGACCGCCCGAATTTAATATCAACTTTGACATGCTGAATTACTGAATGTGATTACTTTCCCAATTTAAAATCCCTAAGCTTTTATGTGGGAATACTAAGATAAACTGTAAACTTACATTCTACCAACACTTTCATACAACTTAGTTGCACCACTAGTTTGCTTTACTTCCATGTAGGTCAGCTCTGCATGCTTTCCTCTGTTTTTGCATTGCTCAACCTAAATTGAAAATTACCGTTAACAGAAAGAAGAAACAGCTTAAAAATAACAGAACATGGAAACGGTAGAGCAGCACCAAAAATGAATATAGTCATTGACAGAAAGTAAGGTTAGATTTTTTAAAAAGTCACCTGATTGTCGACAGCCTTGATTCTGGTGGCAGTTTCTACACTTTTATTCTTCAGCTCGGTAAAAGCCTTCTTCAGTTCAGCATCGGCCATATTGTCAAGAAGCTTAATAAATGGGTTCTGTTAATGCTGGAATGTTATTTAAATGTAACTTTACACGACAAATCAAATCAAAACATAAATGATACATAAGATCATCGCAAATATTCATAAAAATATTTTTATAATTTAATTTAATTGTACATCGGATATTTTCTCCAAGTGTATATATCATATTATAATATCCACATTTAGAAAGTCAAGAGATAACACGAGAAAGGTTTATTCATTGCAACTTCAACATTTTTATAGAATATACAACAATTCGATTAACGGAATGTATGGCAACTGAACATGTAACCATATTTATGAACCACAAAATATCACGATCTACCAATGCAAATGCGAACAAAACTTAAAATGATTAAGGTTAAAAGTTGCTTGTTAAAAATGTGGATAACAGAAAAAGTGTAGAAACATGATTCTACAAACAATTCTACATTAAATAACAGTGAAGTGACATATTCAATGATATTTCAACTATAACAAAGAAGTGTCAGACTAAATAAGTATAGTTCCAAACATGTTTATTTCAACCCAGCCGGATAATTGCATACCGCATCAAATTGAAATGAATTTTATTTACAGAACATCATTGAGCTAAAAACCGAAACCAAAACCAAAGCTTATAAAACTTTCAGTCACGTGACAGTTCATTTGAGTCCCATTCTTTGTGAGATGGTGTGAGTTAGGGCAAGAGTGAGATCCTCTCTCATTCCGTATTGTTTTGTGAATGCTTTAGCTAAGGTGTCAGGATCGTCTCTCTGTAATTTGTAATTTGTAATTTGACAAATGTAACGAGGACTTCTTGTACACATTAACTAACAAGCAATTTTAAATTTAATAAATTCAAATTACAATAGAATGTCTACATTGTCGCAATGAATTTCAGTTGATCGCTTTTTATGAAAACCAAAATATAAAGTCTGACCTGTCTGACTTTCAAGACTGCGACCTTGTCAGGACAGTACTCAATGGATAAAGTAAACACAACTCCGTCCTTATCCTGAAGTGGAGATCTGCTCTTAATAATTTGTATTCAGCACCTCCTCCTCTAGCATAATTCAGCCCATTTCCTTAATTTTAGATAAAGATAAAGGCACTCAAATAGTTTGTACATTAATATAATTTGATATTAAATATAATAGTCTATTAGTTCCTACTAACGGGTTTGTCCATGTACTCCTTTTTGTTTTGTTCTGCAGTAAACCGATCAGTAAATCTTCTGTCATCACGCGATCTTCCTCTATTTCGGCGGTCATCCCGTGAGCGGCGGTCATGTCGGTCCTTGTTCCTTGAATGATCCTCCTTTACTTGGCCCTGAAAATATGATCACTAATTAATATTTCTGACTGATCCTCCTTTACTTGGCCCTGAAAAATATGATCACTTATTAATATTCCTTGACTGATCTTCTTTTAATTGGCCCTGAAAATATGATCACTAATTAATATTGAATCCTAGACGTAAGACATACCAAGAGCGATAGTGTCTGAAAAAAATATTCGCTTAACTTTCACCAACATCTGGCAAATAAACGGTCTGCAAATCCCATGTAAATCATGTGTAATCCTATGTAAATCCCGTGTATTCCCGTATATTTGCCCTACTCCAACCCTAGAAAATAATAATATTTGAGGTACCTTTAGTTTCTCCTCGTGGTAATCTCTCCTCTCTATCTGGTTACGCTTTATGTGATGTAGAAATCCGTGGTTCTTGTCTAGTCTTGGTTTATGTTGCGACTCTTCCATCCTTACTGGACAAATCAATTATCAGATTTGGGGGTGGGGTGGCCGGTGGATAAATTTGTGTTTCTCTTTTGTGATAACTTCAAGCACACATTATAACAATTCTGTCATAAAAACTGAGGTACAAAATAAATTCTACACAATTGACTGAAAGAAAAGCATTTATGAGTAGAACGAACAAGTGAATGAATATAATTTATGAATACAATAAAAGTTATTATGTAATACATCATCCTCTATATTGTAGAGTTGTAGGGATCACCTCAATGCAGTGAACAAGTAAAATGTCAGTTTTCTAGACAACATCGCATTTACTGTCACTTACTAAACATAACTAGTATGTTGTGAAAATTCGAATAAACCTTGAACTCCCAGTCGTCTCTTTCTTGATGAGCATCTTTAACATGAAGCCAACCTAACCAAGTTAGTGGTAATAGTGGGCTATAATATTCACTAATAAAAACATGCATTTTCTCTGCTCTAATCTCATCATGAAAGTGCACTGTTTCACCCAGGTAATCTTCTTTATCAGTACACAGTCTCAATGTCCACAATGCAGCTTCACTGGGGACTGTTTTTAGAATAAATCCACATTTACCAGGTAGATTACAAGATGATACTGCAACTGACGGGTGTTGGAAGTGGAAGATCAGCTTGGAGTCTTTTGAGAGTATTGAACTCAGTGGTTTATCAATATCACACGGGAAAATACAGGGAATAACGGTAGTGTGTGAGGTATCTTGTTTAATGTTTATTAGCAGAGCAGAATTGGTTTAACTTAAACCACACTTGCTGGTGTTTGTTATTCCAAAGAACTAATTCATAGTCAATTAAGTTATCCGGTAAAAGAGACCAGCCTCTCTTCTCTACTAGGTCTGTTAGTCTAGCTGACAACACAGCAAAGTCAACATTACAACTCATATCATTGTTATTACTCTGATTATAATTGTACCGGTATCTGTTCCAAGTGTACACAGCTTCTAAAGCCATCAACAAACTGGTAACATCTCCAGACACAGACAGCCAGTCCAGCAACTGATTAAATGACATGTTTATATCGATATCATGGTACAAGTTGGGTATAATGTTACATCTAGATACTGTTGTTGAGCTGGATCCACTTAATTCATCAGAACTATGAGCCAGCTCAGTTCTCTGTTTGGAACTATTGCGAAGAAGCTCAAAAGTCCATCTCAATTTATCATCTGGAAGGTCCCCAAGAACATCAAATAAGTGGTCAAACAAAACTCTGTCGGAGTTTCTACACAGGGAAAGATCAGAGTTTTCCAGAAGATACTCACAAGAAACAGAAAGACTGGAACCCTGAACTTTAAACTGTTCTGATAACTGATTAGTTAGAGTTTGTACAACACAGTTAACTTCAGAACCAGCTAGCTCTATCACCATGTCTAGTTTCTGTGTAGATAATCTGTCTGCATTCTCAAGATACCTGTCTATAAACTCCTGTTTCCACTTCATTATCTCAATCTTCTTGATGGTAAGATTTAGATAATCTTTTATCTTCAGCTTCTCATAAACAAAACCTGCTTCTTCAAATAGATAAAGTAGTTCTGTATAGGACGGAGTTTTAACCGAGTCAGCTATTTCAGTGAAATATTCAGCACACTTTTCAGCTAACCAAGACATTTCAAACACATTAGCCATCTTGTTGATGTCCCTGAATAGTTCCCTGGTTATCCCCTCTGCAGTTCCAGAGTAAGCTGCATCAACAAGCAGCTGAACAGCAGCTTTACTGAACTCCAACATGTCCACACTGGTCATGTGAAGGGTGGTTGTCATGTGATCAATGACGGGGCTGTTGAAGGATAGGATCACTGAGCTGGCTCGTACCTCACCTCCCTCACTTGTGTTCAGTTTTAGGTTGCTGTGAGTTGGGGATCCTATCAGGTGCCTTCCAAAATCCATCGGGACACTCACTTTAGGTAACATAATGATATTTCTTGATTCCTGGCTAAAGATGGTTTGTTAATTTGATGATGACGAACTTAAACATCGTTTATTTTACAATTTAACATTATTCAAAGTTTGATTAAAATAAATTTCAATTGTCATACTTTTGTCTTAGTAAAGGTTCCATAGTTTAACTTGAGAAATTATCATCATAATCAATTGAAGAAAACAAGTCTTAGAAAGTTAAAACAAATCGACAATAATATAGAATTTCATAATTCACATTGATCATTATTAGTCATTTTCGAGAAATATGTCGATAGAGAGAAGAAATTAAAAATAAAAGTCATATAATAAGAATATGTCCATTTCCTGAAAACAAAAAAGTAATCGTCAGTAAAATTAAGATAACTTTTTAGGTACAAAAATCAATCCAATAAAAAACAAGTTAAAAATTTAACATTTACTCCCATGCTAACATGCAGTCTACTAAATCAGATAAATCTCATATCAATATTCTAGATTATCTTCCTCAGACCAGGTTAAATAATAAACAACTTACCAAGGAGTCATTACATGCTTAATATACCTTGCTAATTATTAGTTAATTAGTAATTATCTCAATCACACACAATTCCACCTTACCCCTTACCAAGTCTACAAAATAGCTGGTTTTTAAATGTCTGATCTTAGTGAGATGGGAAGGAGTAATGTAGTGGTGTACTGGTAGAGCTTACAAACATTATCATAACAAAAAGATTATAAAAATAAGTTATCATGAGATCAGCTGATCAGGAACAGAATATTAATTCTGCAGCTGATATACAGTCCTCTTTGTTACAGGAGGAACCTCAACTTGGTAAACAAGTACACTTCTAGTTTTCTAGAGCAAAACTTATCTTTTCTACAATCAAACAATTACATCAATAACATTTACTGTCACTTACTATACATAACTTGTATGTTGTAAAAATTATCAAATTTGATTTCCTCCCAGCTGTCTCTTTTTATATGAGCATCTTTAACATGAAGCCAACCTAACCAAGATAGTGGTAATAGTTCGTAATTATGAGAGTCACTAATAAAAACATGCATTTTCTCTGCTCTAATCTCATCATGAAAGTGCACTGTTTCACCCAGGTAATCTTCTTTATCAGTACACAGTCTCAAGGTCCAAAATGCAGCTTCACTGGGAACTGTTTTTAGAATAAACCCACATTTACCAGGTAGATTACAAGATGTTACTGACGGGTGTTGGAAGTGGAAGATCAGCTTGGAGTCTTTTGAGAGTATTGAACTTAGTGGTTTATAAATATCACACCAGTCAATAGAGAGAATAACGGTCACGTGTGAGGTATCTTGTTTATTAGCAGTGCAGAATTGTTTCAAATTATACTCCACCCACCAGCCTTTGTTATTCACTAGACGTAAATGATAGCCAATAAAGTAGGACGGTAAAAGAGACCAGCCTCTCCTTTCTACTAGGTCTGTTAGTCTAGCTAACAACACAGCAAAGTCAACATTACAACTCTTATTTTTGCTTTTCCTCCTATCATTGTTATTACCCCGATTATAATTGTGCCGATACAAGTTCCATGTCCACACAGCTTCTAAAGCCATCAACAAACTGGTAACATCCTCAGACACATACAGCCAGTCCAACAACTGATTAAATGACATGTTCATATCCATATCATGGTACAAGTTGGGTATAATGTTACATCTAGATACTGTTGTTGAGCTGGATCCACTTAATTGATCAGAACTATAAGCCATCTCAGTTCTCTGTTTGGAACTATTGCGAAGAAGCTCAAAAGTCCATCTCAATTTATCATCTGGAAGTTCCCCAAGAACATCAAATAAATGGTCAAACAAAACTCTGTCAGACTTTTTACAGAGAGAAAGATTAGAGTTTTCCAGAAGATACTCACAAGAAACAGAAAGACTGGAACCCTGAACTTTAAACTGTTCTGATAACTGATTAGTTAGAGTTTGTACAACACAGTTAACTTCAGAATCAGCTAGCTCTATCACCATGTCTAGTTTCTGTGTAGATAATCTGTCTGCATTCTCAAGATACCTGTCTATAAACTCCTGTTTCCACTTCATTATCTCAATCTTCTTGATGGTAAGATTTAGATAATCTTTTATCTTCAGCTTCTCATAAACAAACCCTGCTTCTTCAAATAAATAAAGTAGTTCTGTATAAGTTGGTGTTTTAACCGAGTCAGCTACTTCAGTGAAATATTCAGCACACTTTTCAGCTAACCAAGACATTTCAAACACATTAGCCATCTTGTTGATGTCCCTGAATAGTTCCCTGGTTAACCCCTCTGCAGTTCCAGAGTAAGCTGCATCAACAAGCAGCTGAACAGCAGCTTTACTGAACTCCAACATGTCCACACTGGTCATGTGAAGGGTGGTTGTCATGTGATCAATGACGGGACTGTTGAAGGATAGGATCACTGAACTGGCTCGTACCTCACCTCCCTCACTTGTGTTCAGTTTTAGGTTGCTGTGAGTTGGGGATCCTATCAGGTGCCTTCCAAAATCCATCGGTACACTCACTTTAGGTAACATAATGATATTTCTTGATTCCTGGCTAAAAATAGTTTGTTAATTTGATGTTGACAAAATTGAAATATCGTACTAATATATCAGATTTTAATGTTATTCAAAATATTGTGATAAAAATAAATTTCAATGTTCATACTTTTATCTTATGAAAAGCAGTAAATTTCTGTACTAAATTTCTGCAGTAAATTTCTGTACTAACAAATCTTCTATAATAGTCAAAACATTGTGCGGTTTAAATTTGAGAACTAGATTATATTTGAGAATTATATGCATTAAGCATTGCCATAGCTATACCTAGTGAAAATATACTGCTCGAAATAAAGATCGAGCAAGCTGCTGCTAGCTCATCATCTTGTGCATATAAATTGGAGGATGGCTGCCCTGAATTTAAGACTGAACTTACTACAAATGAAGATATGATTGAAATGGGTCATATGAATTCCTGTAGCTCTGTAGGTTAGTCCTTTAGTCATAAAAACTGAAACTGTAGACTGTAAAGAATTTCAATGTGATTATTAAAAGTACTGCCCGATCATCTATAATATTTGAAGTCTCCTAAATAAAGTGCCGGGCTAATAACATGATCAGTTTCTGTCACACTGTTATTGAGCTTCGACCATGTTGCTCGAGCAATTATATGTTGCTCAGGCAATTATTAGGGGTGGTTTGGACAGTATATAGATTAGTCTCATTACTTGCTGCACGACAACAGTGGAACATGTCCCCGGACACAAATTATGCTTCACATTGACCCGGTTAAAAGAGTTGCTGGGTACTATAAGAACGATTTCAAATTACTGCTAAGAGATCAGGACAGTACTAACAGTTGCTGAAGCACTAAGTTTTATCCCCTAAACATCGATTCAATTGATTTTGATGTCGTTCAACTCTTCAATATAACTGCTGATCCAAATGAAGCTGACGATATATCGTCGGGTAATCCTAACATTGTGACGGATATGTTCTATGATGTTACTGACTACTTAAAGGAACATTGCAATGCATGCTTCCTTCAGTCGATGGAAGCTATCCTAATTATGATGTCCCATATTACATACCATGGGATTATAGCCCGGGATATTTACTGTTTTCTGCATTTTACAAGCAGTTGAAATACAAATAATTGGGTTAAATATCATGTTCGAGTAGTAAAACGAAACTTTAACAAATCGACAGTTGATAAAATTTACAGTTTATAGCATAATTGCTCAAAAATGAAGGAAATTAATTAATTAATAAATCTTAAAAACATGGTGAGCAAACGTTATATTTTATTTAACCAAAAATGTGGGCAAAAATGGAGCTAGTTTAGCAAAAATGTAGGTCAAACATTTAAAAAAATAAAACTTTGAAAATTCAACTCTGGTTTTCAAATCGTTCATTTTGTATATAATTTAATATTTCAGTGCAACCATCGCAATCTATTGTGACATTTCTTGATTCCTGGCTAAAGGTAGTTTGTCAATTTACAACAGGTAATGTTTGTACATTTGACTTAATTCACAACGAAATGAAAATAAATGTTGATGGTAATATATTTTATTTCAGTGAAGGTTGAACTATCTTGTCTAGGGCCTAGGCAGGCCAATTATTATCATAATTGAAGAAAACGGAATTCAATAAATACCGTCAAATTTTATTTATCTTAGAGAATTATAATCTACTAGAAAGCCCGTGGTAACAGGTAGTATTCTTTGAAAGAAAGTTTAAATTGCATCAAAAAACATCCATCCCAACCGAAGATACAGCCAATTTAAATATAAAACACTTTAAACACAACATAATTACCATAAATCCGATCAAAATGACGTTAAAACAATCTTTGCACGTGCATGTGTGCATTAAAACACCGTTGCTATGGAACGTTTTGGTTGTTACCTAAATTCCTATTTTTCATCTAATTTGCACGTGGGCGGTCGTACAACATCAGAAAGAATTCTCTGAATTATAGTAGAGATATCCATTCAGCAATCCACCATAAAAGATAAAAGTCATAATATCAATATTTCTTAGAAACAAAAAAAGATGCAAAATATTAAATAAAAATTCGTATAAGTTTCTTTGAAATTAGAGATTCACTCTCAATACTCATAAGCTCATATCATGCAAAAGATATGAAAAAATGTCCTTTTTAAGTTTTCAATATTCTGGGATTTCCTCCTCGGACCAGGCTATCTTAACCGGTAACCCACTAACCGCAGACTCCTTACAAGCCTCCACTACCTTGCTCACAGCCCTGGTCATCTCTCTGTCACAGACAACTCCACCTTACCCCTTACCAAGTCTACAAAATAACCCAGCTGGTTCTTAACGCTTGGTCGTAATGAGATGGAAGGAGTAATGTAACGGAGTGCTGGTGGAACCTGATGGGTCACTTGTCACCAGGTGGTTGGGTCTGGAATGTTCACAGTGCAACATACCAAGAGGTCCAAACACTTCCAGCCTCTGATCGTACCCGTAGCTGGAGTACCTGTTCAGGTCTATCGTACCCAGAGTACCGTGCTTGAAGGTCAGGAGGATTATCATGTTGTCGTAGTCGTTGTAGTCGGAGAACTCGGGTATTTGAGCGTTTCCAGCCACAAACACTTGTACAGGAACATCCCCGGTAACCCAGAGTAACAAGTCAATATCATGAACTGAGAAATCATCAAATATCCCTCCAGAGGGTCCGATATAAGACAGGGGAATGACTGGAGAGTCTCTGCTGACTGACTTGATAGTCTGAACTTTACCAACAGCACCGGCCCTCACTTGAGCCTGGATGTGCGAGTAACTCGGATCAAATCTTCTGTTGAAAGCACAGAATAAAGGTAGGTCAGCCTGAGCTGCTGCCTGGTAACATTGTCTTGTTCTCTCTAGACTATCTGATATAGGTTTCTCACAGTACACCGCCTTATTAGCAACTACAGCTGATAATATGAGATCTACATGGGAAGCAGTGGAGGACGCTATGATAACAGCCTCAATACCCGGGTCAGAGAACGCGCTCTGTGGATCACATGACACTGTCACATGGGCTGGTATCCCGTGCTGCGCGCGAACCTCACCAGGGTCCTGCCGGGGAGACAGCACCACGCAGCAGAGCCTCAACTGTGTGTTAGCTCTGATGTTGGACAGGTACATGACACCAATACGACCTAGACCAATGAGAGCTACTGCTAGTGGCATGATGCTGTCACGTGGTGTGATGCTGTCACGTGGTGTGATGCTGTCACGTGGTGTGATGCTGTCACGTGGTGTGATGCTGTCACGTGATGTGATGCTGTCACGTGGTGTGATGCTGTCACGTGGTGTGATGCTGTCACGTGGTGTGATGCTGTCACGTGGTGTAATGCTGTCACGTGCAATGTTGTCACGTGGTGTGGTTGTAGTGCCACGTGAGGTGTCACGTGGTGTGGTTGTAGTGCCACGTGGAGTGTCACGTGGTGTGGTTGTAGTGCCACGTGGAGTGTCACGTGGTGTGGTTGTAGTGCCACGTGGAGTGTCACGTGGTGTGGTTGTAGTGCCACGTGGAGTGTCACGTGGTGTGGTTGTAGTGTCTCACGTGGTGTGTCACGTGGTGTGGTTGTAGTGAGGGTGGAGTAGGGTGAGTGTGTTTTAAACCTTGCTGTTGCCATCTGGAGGAAAATAGTTGTTATTATTGTAAACTAATAACTGCATAAATACTATGATTTATTTTCATTTGACGAATAAAATAGTGTCCGGACATGATATGGTGAAAGTCTAATATCGTTTTAATTTTCCTGATTGTTTAGTATTCAGATCACGGTAAAATGAAGATAGCTTTGAAACAATTAAACTGGATGAGAACACACCTCTTACATACAAAATATCAAAACTCAAATAAACATATTTTAATGAAATAGTTACGTACACCAAATTTTCATCTTTTCATACAATTCATCGCAATTTAAAATTTCAAGGCAAGAATCCGACAACCTGGGCCTGTCTCTATACGGAAGGAAAACAATAACTCTTAATTAACTACTAATTAGCCACTAATTAACTCTTAATTAGGCACTAAACTGTAATTCTAAGAAACCCCATGAGCCGAATAGTCTGACGCCCCCGGAGTTTTGTGGTCCTTGAGCTGTGCGGATGATTCGTAGGTACATATCACAACGCCACGTTTCTGAGCCTGCCCGGGTATTGACAGTGAATATAAGCAGTGAATCACTAGAGAAGTGGATTTTACAACCATAGAAAAAGTTTGGGATTTTAGGAGACAGATGAATAAAATATATCAATTATCAAGCAACTAATGAGCATTTACCTCCGAAAAGTCACCCCGCAGCCCGATGTAACAGATTTTAGTTTCATCTGCTCCAAAGTTCTTGTCAAAATAGAGGGACAAACTCTCACAGTTGTTGAATCTTGCTACCCTTACCAATAATTTTGTTAAAACAGTCCGGCAAAAAAAGTATAACTACTTGTATAAATAGAGACAGAAATAAAATAATGTTGTGACACTGAAACTGGTCACAAGATTGAATGTAATCATTACAATTAACACTGTTACAGTATCAATTGAGTAATTGGTAATTATGGACATCTTCACATCAAGTGTTTAACAGTAAACAGTAAATAATTAATCACATAATCACATAATTAATCACATAATTAATGACATAATTACTTGGTCTGGTACTCCACTACACCGTCCTTGTCGTGCTGTAAATCGAACTCCTGTTCAGCGTGTCTACCAGCGTCATCAAAACTAACCGGTACTGCGTTCTTAAACCTACACGTGCATTCCAGTGTGACATACACGAAATATACACGTGATATACACATGATATACACTTATACACATGATATATACACATGATATACACGTGACATACACGTGATATTATATACACATGATATACACTTATACACATGATATATACACATGATATACAAGTGACATACACGTGATATTATATACACATGATATACACTTATACACATGATATATACACATGATATACACGTGATATACGCGTGACATACACGTAACATACACGTGACACAACTCGATACAGTTCGGTGTGGCAATTCTACGTTGTTTTTTACATTATTTTGCTAATCTCGAAGTTTCATTGATATAAAAAGTTGTGAATGTTGGGAGAAAGTTTTCCAAGTAAACTCACACTTTTAGATGAGAAGGGTCACTCTCCCCACCGCCACCTATAACTATAATCCCTTTTAACTTGACACTTCCAGTAAAGAGAAGTTGAACAGTAACTCCTCGTCCAAATCACTCTCTACAAACTGAAAATATCCAAGTCACTCTCTACACATGTATGTAACATGTATGTAATTAATTTTGTTCCCGATAAGACCTTTGGACGTGAGCCTACAACAACCTCATAGAAACTACCCAAAATAGCTCGCGCTACAAACCTTTGATTTATCCTTCCTCAAATCCCAGGGTTTAAAAACGCTTGCTCCAGACCCCTCTATAGTTTCATTGAGACAGTCCAAAGTCTGAAATCTATCTTTGTGTACAAGCTGTACTCCCTCCCTCGTTCTGGATCGTCGTGTTGGTGAGCCTCGTGGCTACAGCATGACATGACCTGTTGTGGTATATTGGTTAAGTTATAATACTACTTACTACTACTACAGCATGGTAATTTGAGGTGCTTTTCTACAGCTTGCTTGTTTGTTTGTTTTGAAAGTTTACAAATACTTTGTTATAATATAATCATGAGGAGGGATGGGGAGGTTCAGGGAAATGATAAAAACTCTGACTTACTCCAGAAAACCAACTCTAACCCACTCCACAAGTTCCTCACAAGTTTCAGATGAAGATCCCACACTGCTCCAAGTAATTTTTTGTTTTGATACCTATAACATCCCTAGCTGAAGATCACTTATATGTTTTAAACAAATCCAGGTACCAATAATCATTTCTTTCAGATGGATGTTTTCTTCTTAAACTGCTTTAGTTTAAGATGGAAGACAGTCAAACTGAAGATTCCGGAATCTTATCCGTTTCTTTGTTCAGTGGTCCACCAAACCACCACAAATACCTCACATATCACCAAACCACCACAAATACCTCACATACCACCAAACCACCACAAATACCACACATATCACCAAACCACCACAAATACCACACATATCACCAAACCACCACAAATACCTCACATACCACCAAACCACCACAAATACCACACATACCACCAAACCACCACAAATACCTCACATACCACCAAACCACCACAAATACCTCACATACCACCAAACCACCACAAATACCACACATACCACCACACATACCACCAAACCACCACAAATACCTCACATACCACCAAACCACCACAAATACCTCACATACCACCAAACCACCACAAATACCACACATATCACCAAACCACCACAAATACCTCACATACCACCAAACCACCACAAATACCACACATATCACCAAACCACCACAAATACCACACATACCACCAAACCACCACAAGTACCACACATATCACCAAACCACCACAAATACCTCACATATCACCAAACCACCACAAATACCACACATACCACCAAACCACCACAAATACCACACATACCACCAAACCACCACAAATACCACACATACCACCAAACCACCACAAATACCACACATATCACCAAACCACCACAAATACCACACATACCACCAAACCACCACAAATACCACACATACCACCACACATACCACCAAACCACCACAAGTACCTGTATGGGTCACGCAGCGTTTCCATATCTTCAACTCCCACTTCAATGCAAGGTGAAATGATATCCTGGCCAGCGGAGATTTATTGTAAACTTGTTTAATCTGTAATAAATGGCATAAAATTGAAATTTTTGTTTAACTGAAATTTTTGTTTAACTGAGGTGAGGGTATTTGAGTACACTGCACTGCACGACATCTCTTAGCAGGTCACTATCAAACTCAATATTTTACCCTTCAGTATTGTAGTTACATAGCTCTTAGCAGGTCACTATTGAAAACTCTTTTACCCTTCAGTATTATAGTTGCACATTATATTTTTCTGCTGTTTCAGCTGTTTCCTAAGTAAAATGACAGTGAAATTGTACTGAAAGCATCATGTAGCCTCCAGGCTCGACAAACCACGACAAACCCTGACAAACCCGGAATATCCCGACAAACCCTGACGTGTCGAGATATGTCGTATCATGTCGGGCCCACCGGCTACATGATGCCTCCCTGGGATCATTTCATCCGTAAAATTGTATACAATATAAAATAGTACAGTAAAATATCTACAAAATTTACATAAACAAATCTAGGAGACCTCAAAGCTCGTCTTCTGGGGGATGAGGTTGAAGGATACGCCTTGCAGTTCAAGATGTTGGGCTGTTGACCTTCCTCTGATTCCCCTCAGTGCAATGAGTGTACTCCTTAACAGATCAAATCTGAATCGTGTTCTGATATGATTTTTGACTTGGCTCTTGACTTCTTTTTTGTGGTCAGCTATCATCTCAGAGACACGATCTACAAACACTGTGCAGAGCGGTCCCATACCTCCGGAGGTTGTGAAAACTAGAGGGACAAAGGATCCCTTCTCCGACTGAAGTACTCTCTCTTCAGACAAATCTTGCTTTTCATTCTCATGATCTCTATAGATCTTATCTAGTGGCTTAAATGTATTTGTGTCACAGTTAGGATGTGTGACGCTGATGTCATAGAATGTTCTTACAAAAGGTGCATACAATCCGACAGCTGCTACATCGAGACGGGCTTCATCCTGGGTGTTGGTCTTTCTTGAGAATGAGCTTGGTTGGACTGTCAGGAGTGCTGGTTCTATCCTTACGTCTTTACACTTTGCTTCTCGGAGGAAGAGAGCAGCAGTGTCTCTTATGGCATTGTGGCGCATGGAAACATATCCACCTAGTTTACAGTCAAGGGCGTGGTAGATACTGTTTATATTTCCGCAGGCACATTTAGAGGGCACTCCTTGGATCTTCCAACCATAACGTAGGCATATGCTGTCTTAGAACTCCTGCCTGTTCAGAACATAGTTGAGGTCCTTCAGTGGTAGTGTTTAGAGTTAATTTGGTTTTATATTAGAAGATTTAGGTATATTATTATTGTATATTACCAGAACGTGGTAACTGACCTGAAGAAGAAGAGGGCTGAACAGTCTCATCTCAACCACTACATCCGTAACGGGAAGGTCTGTAGCCGGGTTAAGAAGACACCATGATGACGTAATTCGTGTTTCTCGGACACCGATCAGTATAATATGTACTTGTAGGAGTATTTTAAGAGTTTACGGACGTTATCTGTATTTGAAAGACAATTATATTATATACATACATTATTATTTGATTGTTTCACACTTTTCACATTTCATAATTTTATTACTAGGTGGAGGTTATGTTATTGAGAATTTGGGCGGCCAAAAAACTCCTGTTCTGAAAGTTGTCCTTTGTACTTGTTTCACTGACCCACGCTTTTTAGCATTTATCCATTTCGGCCCATTTTATATGTTTGTTCGAATTGCTGTACATTTGTATACTTGCTATTTTGTAAAAGTTTCAAATCAAATCAAATCATGTATGAATTCTTGATTAAACATTAACCAGTAAACAGAGCTGGTTCTCAATCAATCGACAATTTCAAATTTTTCATAATTTCTAGAAATTTTAAATTTTATTTTAGTTCCATACCTAACGACGCTTGACTCTTGGAGCTATAAAAGTCTCTTCATTTGATTGTCGATGAAATTTATTGTTTCATTGATAAAACTTATTGTTTCTTTGTTTAATTTATTAAACAAATGCACCATGCATTTTAAATCTTTATACTATCTTCACAATTACTTTAAAACCAAATTAACTAACTCAATTTCAAAGCATAAACAGCTGAAATATCGTTTACATTTACAAGCCTGTCGCGTGAGCGCGTTTGCTCTATCCAAAGCCCTTGCGCTTGCAGTAGTAGTGAAACAAGCGCGCCCGCAGTGGCGTGAAAGCACATGGTTAGGTGAATGCGTGCGTCTGACAAAAATGGTCATTGGTTATTTGCTCATAACGACATAACTTGTACTTGTTAAGAAATGATTTTCATGCTAAGTAATACGTTTTATTTTATTAGTATTATGGTCAGTCTCCGTGGAGAAAAAGGTGCGAGAAAAAACATTGTTGATATAAACAGTCTAGATCTTAACTTGGAGCCACAAGGCCAAGGGTAAAAAAAATGTTTGATTGTTAAGGGAATTTTTTGAATTCTTAAAGGGTTGATTTTATATAGGGTCATTGCTATATTATGTGTATATTGTTTGAATAATTTATATTAATGTATGTATTATGCTGCCGTTTTCTCAGAAAAGGCAGTAAGTCCATATTTGCCATTTCGAGATATTGCGACTTTTGCGTTTGTGATTTTTCCTCCGCTTATTTTTTGCGTACGATCGAAAGTAAACACGTTGAGTTATCAATAATTAGTCAAATTTTAATTTGTATAAAAAATTAAAGCTTTGTGCCGTTCATACGCTTAGATATAACCATTTTTATGCCAAATAATCGAGCTAATTTTTCATATTGAATGGACTTACTGCCTTTTCTGAGAAAAATGTGACTTACTGCCTTTTATGCAAATGATCTTTGTTCGAATATTTTCTGAGAAGGCAGTAAGTCCAAGGCTTATACGCAATTATTGAGGCTGGATAAATGTAATTTGAGGATTGAATTGTGTAATATAAATAACAAGGTACATTCAAATTCTTCCATTTTGTTATGATAAAACTAAATGTTTATAAGAAATCATAAATGTAGCCAGAAATCTTTCCGGTCAGTTGGCATAAGCGGACATAGCTTTTTAATAATATCCTGTTTCCTTTCATTGTCGAGAGGTGGTTGCGCTTTGACAACTTGGGAGCTCATGAAACGCCTTTCGGCTGCCATATCCCTGAACCTTTTCATTAGGAAATCTGCGCAAAGGTACTCAGTTGCTTCAAAAGAGCGCTTGAAGAACATCTTTGCCTCACCAGCTTTAAATTGTGCCTCGCAAACTTCGTCTAGGAGTGGTCTAGAGTCTTTGGAAGCCTTTCCTTGAGAGAGTCCAGTTTTCCAATCCAAGAAGTCATCTGACCCCATTTCAATGCATATACCCACCTGTCTTATACAGTGCAGATAATCATTGAAGTCGTAGATGTTTTTAATCTTTTTGAACTCTTTTTCCACTCTAGCATGGAAACTGTCGGCAGCCATAAATGTATGCCCAGCTTCAAAGAACTTGAACGTGATGCTAGAGGGATTACTGGTAGCCTCTTGCTCACCCATGAAACATGCCATAGTTGTAAACAGGGTCCAATTTTTGTTTTGAGCCGAACAGTTGTCCAACCAAATGACAATGTGCGGGTATTTTCTTATTTCTGGTAACCGAAGAATCCTGAAATGGTAAACATTGGTAATGGTAGAGGTTATTTTAAACAATCATTTGCCAGAAGCTGTAAGCGTACTACTGAACAATAGCACTTGCTTTGGTAACATATTGTATTAATGCGTAAGTTCCTTTCTAAAATATCTTCTGCTTACCTCATAAACGCGCTTGTGATATCTTCGTCATTCCTCCCCATTAATGCCTGATGCCAAACAACTCCGAAAGATCTCCCACTACCAAGCTCGCTGAATGTCTCATTGTAGGCAACATATCGTTTGGTGAACACCGCTGTTTTCACCCCACTAATCTCGGGAATCATCTTCACCTTCTGCAGATCAACTGCAAAGAACAGTGTGTTAGAAGGTAGTTGTTGGGCAGCATCTTCTTTGTACAGTTTCCGGGCCATGGTGTACTTTTCCTTGTGTGCCTTTTGTTCGTCACAAGCTGGACATGATCCCGTTGTTCCTACTGAACACTCAGAATTTTCCAGATGTCTGTCGTGCTTTAAACATTGTTCGCACTCCTCGTGTCCTAGCTTTGCGAAGGATATATTCATGGCCTTCACCTCTCTGAAATTAGTTACATTGTTTTTACAATGAAGATACGAA